TCCTGAAAATCTAAATTGCATTAACTATTATGCAGAAGTTGCATGGCATAGGAAGAAACCCACTAAACCAAGCACAAATGGTTTTATGCACAGAATTGCCCTTTTCTCCTGTTAAAAAGAGGCTCAAATAATCTAAAAGAAGAATTTCATAGAAAGAGTTCAAAATTAATTTATCAGGGACTTGCTGTTTCCCTGTCTGGAAAGCTCCTATGAGTCAACATTGCAGGCAAAGAGTAGAGACAGACTGCCTTCCAGAAGGTAGCCAAGGATCCCTTGCTTTGTTTTCTTAGCAGAAAGCCAAAAAAGTTCAATGAAATGTAAATCAACATGTTCTGAGAAGACTCCATAAATTATTTATTGGAGTACAATTAAAGCAGTGTTGCAACAAACTCCTAAGTGATTGCCTCACTCAGGCATATCCAACACATCCACATATCCAACTCATGGTGCTGGCCTAGTGCACAGCAGGTATTTGTACCATGACACTCGGGTTTAGTTTTGCAAAGGCATATTGGCAGAGTAGCTTTAGAGCATCTTGCCAAACTTGGCACAGATGCAACACAAAGGGCTGTGTGCAGTCTTTCCAACTGATGCTTAGAGCCAGCTTGTATTTATGTGACTTTCAGACTTGAAGAAGGGTCAGCTTAGAAGCACAGATCATTTAGGTTGGAAAAGACCTCCAAGACCAATGAGTCCAACTTTTGACCAATCACCACCTTCTCAACTGGACTAGAGCACTAAGTGCCACGGCCCAGTCATTTCTTGAACACCTCCAGGGATGGTGATTCCACCACCTCTTGGGACAGCCCCTTCCAATGCCTGACCATCCTTTCAGTGAAGAAGCTTTTCCTGATTTCCAACCTGAACCTCCCCAGGTGCAGCTTGAGGCCATTTCCTCTTGTCCAGTTGCTTATTTCCAGGGAGAAGAGGCCAACCCCCATCTGGCTACAACCTCCTTTCAGGTAGTTGTAGAGAGCGATAAGGTCTCCCCTGAGCCTCCTTTACTCTAGGCTAAACAACCTCAGCTCTCTCAGCTGCTCCTAGACACAGCTTGAGGGAAGCCTGAGGGAAACCAGATAATCAACATAGTTACCTGTAGGAGGAGCTTGAGTCGAGTGATGCGCTGGAAGGGGAGGATAAGGAAGGACTTAAGTGAGAGGCGCTGGCACACTGGATCACTTTCCAGTCTCTCCAGGACTTGCTGGAACCCTGCGTTTCCATTTCTGTGGGAGTGGTAAAGAAAAAAAGACATCCAGGCATCAGAGTAAATAAATGATTTCTCCTAGTATCAGATTTCAGTGAATGCTGGAGTATTCCCAACAGTCAGGCTTTGTCCCTGGGGCAAGAGATGTCAAGAAACTGCACCACTCTGCTGATGAAGAGCAAGTATGGGTTTCTAACAGCTACAGAATGGCAGCACAGCTGTTATTATCTCTTTCCTCTTTCTGCCACAGCCCTCTGGAATAAAAGCTAGAAGTGACATCAACATTTCAATTCCCTCTATCAATACTGCACCTTTTAGACACTTGAGTGGTTTGTATTCTTTCCTTACACTGAGTGGTTCAGCTCCAGGGACTGTGTTGAGGGTTTGGAAACAGCTGTTTCCCATCCCTTGCTATTCCTGAGGGAAGCTGCCTTCCTCCCTTGACGTATCTCTCACCTTCCCTGACACAGCCACTGCCAATCAGGTGTCCATGTTGGGCAATAGCAGATAAAAGGCTATTTTATCCTTGATGAGTTCGCAAAGAATGTTATAGGCCCAGTAGGCATTGCCATAGACACTATCCTGAGGTCCCTTCTGTGTGAAACTGAGCCTTCCCTGAAGGGAATTAATTGTGAGATTAGATCTCTTCCAGCCAGCAGCACCCAAAGACAGTGCCTGAATAGCCTGTTGGAAACACTGTCTTCTCCTGGAATCACCACAGCTTCACTGGAATTTGGTAGTTATGAAGGGAAGCAGTGCAGAAGTGGCAAGGAAACCTTGCCCAGGATGAGGCTCATCCTTGCTTAATGCTTGGTACAGAAGAGGAGGGCAACAGATGTCCCACTCCATCACTCAAAGCAAGAGAGCTCAATGGTGTTCTCTGGCCCCAGGATTTTCAATCCATTTCTATCCCTGAATAGCTAGCTTAAGCTTCCTGACAGCAGCCATGGTTTTTAATTACAGCATCACAGAATGTCTGAGGTCAGAATTCACTTGAAATTATCACTTTCTGGTTCTTAGTAGTGTGAAAACCACAGACTGAAAACCATTATCCAGGACAGTCATTTTTGCTCTCTTCAGCAGAGGGCAGACAGAGAATAGCCTGCAACAGGATCAGATATTAATTATTCTTTTCCTCTTCAATGCTATGGAGAAGAACCTGCAGCAGCTCTGTTCTGCTGTCCCAAATACCCTTGAGCTGAAGGAGGTTCCTTCCTGTTCTTCTAGGGGTGTAGTGAGAGCACTGGTCAACAGCCTGTACCTGCAGCATTCCCCATCGTTTGAAAGAGTGAATATGCAAGGTGCAGCAAGGAAGTAAGGGAGGAGAAGGGTGCAAGAAATGAGACAACTTACAGTAACCGCTGGAAGGTTTGCTCCTGATATGTCTGGTTGGTTACATATGGTAGATACACCCTGCGGAAGTCAGGGGCATGTTTCAGAGCCACATCGCACACATGGAAGGTAAACATGTCCTCCTCAAATTTCTCCTCCAAGTCAAAGAGGAAACTGCAGCACATGGTTGAGATGCCATAAAATAAGAGGGAAATATCAATGTCATTTAGTAAAGCACAAACAGCCTCAGTCCTCTAAAACCCTAAACACCAGACAGCTCTTTACTTCCAGAGAGCATAATGTCTGTGCAATGACAATTTAGGGCTAGATATCAGCAAGGAAAAAGCAGAGGCAAAAGACCTCTGTTCTTGAGAGGTCATTCTTCTAAAGGCATGGTCAGGAAACAACTGAAAACTAAGACCTCACCAGATAATCCCACTGGTAGAAACAGAAAAGGGGGCGTCAAACCTTACTAGTTTGTAAAATACACAGCCAAGCCTTGCTGGAGAAAAAGCAGAACAGAATCCTACAACATATAGAATTCCTTGCATGTGGGGTCATGTCCACATTTCATGACTTATGCTCAATTGATTCACATTAGTTTCTGTCAAGTGATGGCTGTAACTTACTTTTTTTTCCCCCTTTTTTTCTTTTTCATTTTTTTTTTGGTCAGGGCTCATGCAGCTGCCTCTTTTGTCTTGTATTTGTCAGGAGCTGCCTTTGGTTTGGGCTGAGGTCTAGTTAGTCAAGTTTAATTGTAGTTGAAACAAACAGCACATGGCTACAGTAGCATTTTGAACATTTTGATGTCCTGCAGTGAGGTCTGTGCACAATTGACCCATAATATCTGGGACTTAATACCAGGATTTACATTGCCCTGTCACCTAAAGAGGCAAATGTTCCTTTCAAGGCAGTGTTGGTATGTTGTCACAAAGTGTTGTGTGTATGTGTATCTGCCTTGAAGGTCAGTGAACACAGAGAATAGGAGTGAGAAATGTTACTAGTGGAAACTCTGGGCAGTATCATGTGTCTGCTAGTCCTGGAAGCAAAGGGTCACATCTCACCTGGCACTGACATCGCGTACGTCGGAAAGGCGAGAGAAAAGCCACTGACGCTCTTGGTTGGTGAGCATGGCCTGGAGCTCTCCTGATCGCTGGAAGTGATCCACTGCCACATTTAAACTGCGCAGGTAGGAAGCCTCAGATATTATCAACTCAAACTTGGCCTTGAGAGATAAAACAAGGGAGCACAGCGTCAGTAGACTACACAAGTCTGTGAGGAATCTTACGGAGGGGAGACGGGCCAAGCAAGAAAACCTCCCAGTACACGATGCACGTAGTGTGTAATTACAGAAAAGAGGCTTTAGGAGTGAAGGGCGAGCATGCCATTATATATAATCTTTCTCTAAAAAACAGACCTGTGGTATGACTTAAAAGAAAAATAGCTACATACTGTCATTTTACCTTTTATTCCCCTCAACACCACTTTCACAAGGTTCCCCATTTTACATGCTCCCATAAAGTCCTGCATCTACACCACTCACGTTTTTCTCCTTCATCATGTTTCCCATGCTGTTGTTATCACCTCTTTCTCTGGGTCCTCCCATCCACTTCCCAGCTCCTCTCCTTTTCCTTACCTAGTTTCACTGTACCATTTTGCTGAACCCATTATTCTTCCTGTTCCTTCTCAACTCTGCAGCTCACACAGGTCAATTTCATAAACTTGTGCTCTACCACAGAAAATACAATTTACTGTGGTTTTGTTAGCATCTCTCAAGCTTATGTGTGGAAGAATGCTGCAAGTCTACTTTTATACACTCTTTTGCACTGAACATGCTCAAAACTCTTTTATCTTGTTCCCATTTACCCATGTCTGTTTTCATGAAGTTACTGGTACGGTCCAGAGTCTGTCCTTCAGTGTTGATTTTCTTTACAATTCAGCACTTCAGCAATGTACTACTTCACATGCACTGGCACCACCTCCCCAGACTGCTTACAGGAGTAGAGGTGACCTCTGCATTCAATCAACCTGCATCCCTACATCACAATTTTTGCCCTCTGCTTTAACCTCCCTTTCTGAAGACTCTTGCTTGACTGCAGATCACCCATGTACCTTTTTACATCTGTCCATTACCTCTTGTAGCCTCTGCTCCTCACGGGACATATTGAGCAGCATTCTGCTGCCCCGGATCATGGGGATGTCCTGCCAGAGGGATGCATTAGATGAGACTGACAAGCGTTGCAAATAGGAGTCCTGGGGAGACAGCACTTTCCTCCGTAGCCTCGGGGAGCTTGGGAAACTTGACTCTAAATCCTCTGGATAATCCACTCTCTTCTGGCTTTGAATGGCCTTGTTCAGAGCCACATCACTGTACTCCTGATACAGCAGTCTTGCTGTGAAGAAAGACACATAGATTTATCCTTTCTGTAGCAACCACTCACCCTCTGCTTCAATCTGAAGAAAACTGTCTCAGCATAGGACAGCCAAATACATGAGACCACGTGCACCTGCTGTAAGCAAAGCTCACCAGTTGCCTGAGTGTACTGCAGGACTCGGTTCACTGACACCAACTGCTTTCCCTGCTCTCTAACACTCCATCCTTGCCACCATGTGGCAGGAATCCCTCTCCTCTGTGCTCACTGCAAGGGTGAGAGATGGTGGAGGAGAGGGGTCTGCCACAGCACTTGAGGCAGAAGCTACTTACAAGAGTTGATCAGTTTGGAGTGCCGGCGTTTGAAGGTCTCTGACGTGTCTGTAGGTTTCTTCTCTCTGTCAGGGAATAAGGATTTCAAAACAAAGAGTGAATGAAGAGCACAGCATCAGAGATAGCTTATCCAGATCTTTGAAACAGGTCTGCCACAACAGAGACCTTTCCCTTTCCAACAAGCTCAAGCTCCACATGCCTTACTAAATAAAAGGCAAAGTTTGGCTTAAAGGAATAAATTTCCTAAAGGCACAGAAATACTTCTGCTGCAGTGGGGTCCTCTTCAAGAGGACATAGACTGAAATGAGGCCTAAGGCATTTAATTATGGTTTTCTACTCCTTATCATCACCTTTGGTAACTCAGAAACAACAGAGAGTGTCAGGTGTCTGTGCTGCACAGGGATGGAGGCAAATTCTAAGGGGCCTTTGAGAGACTTACCGCCTTATAACTGTTTCTGAGCTGACTGGTGGTTCCCTGTGTGCCTTGTGAGCTTCTTCCTCTGAAGGAACTGGAGAAATTTCTGCATATAAGACAATTAGAAAGTAAACACATAAGTTCACTTTTAGCATAAATCTATAATGCAAATGATACACAGATACCACTTACCTATACCCCACCCAAGTGGTGATCTTGTGTTGGAGTACAGCTGCCCTTGTGACATTTATTTCTGGGTCAGAAACATTCTAGTTTCAATAACCCTTGACATTACTTATACTTTACAACTGTTACTTAGCCGCACTTACTTTTCATACAGAGAAAAAGGCTGACACTTAGGTGATGACTAGCCCTAAGAGCTTCCCTCTCCAGTTGCCCAAGGAATGACAGTGGTTGTGGACTCCATTTGGTGCTGTCTTTACCCTTTCAACTACTTGGGCCAGGCATCAGGAGATCAATGGACTCAAAGTCACTAATCATGTCTGAAGATCTCAATACTTTCTTTGGTAGATGTTGAGCCCCAAAACATTCTCAGTGACTCTGCTGCAGAAATGCTGAACATCTAACAAAGTCAATCCGGTGAAAAGTTTTAAAAGGGATGAGGCCTGACAGTGAATGTTTGTGATCCAATCCTCACACTTATGTATGGTCACAAACTGCTGTTCAAGTAATCTCTTGTTTATGTAACATGGAGAAAATATGCTTTTTGTTTTGGTTTGTGAGGGATTTAATCAAATAGGGGGTTAAGAAATTCTAAATATAAATTCATTGGAAGCAGAAGGAGGAAGAAAGCCCAAAGACTGAGCCACAAGTATGGGTCAGGAGCAAGACAATACTGTTGCCTTGGATGTTTTAAAATTTGGAACCAAGAATTTACAGGTCAAACACACAAACAAATCTTGAATCAAATTCTGCCAAACCTTTTTTACATCCCTCCACACTCCCCTCCTTTTCCTCTGTGCCAAAAATCCAGCATATTGCAAAGCTTGAAAAATAAACTAAGAGCTGAAAAGAAGCAACTATATTTGAAGCTCATGCAAGATATAATAAAGAACAGACATGCATCCTGACAGCAAGTACTATTTGAATGAGCAGCATTACAGAAGATGCATGTTTTCCACTCGTGACATTAGTGATTTGACTTCTATGCAAGTCGGGACCTTGGATTTCACAAAGTTGCATTCTTATCTGTAATCTCAAATCCTACAGGAAAATCATCTCTCTCAGAAGATCATATTGGAACCTAAAGGTATCAGTTGCAAAATAAAGGGAAGCAGCAAATAAACAAGTGATAAAAGACAGAGGGTATTGAGGGTGTATACGAGTTTTCCTTACTGCTTGTAAACAGGCTGCTACAAGGGCAGCAAAACGTGACGCCATGGGTGGCAGAAGCTCTGAACGGAGCCCTACCAAGAACCTCATTCCTGCAGGTAGGCCAAAACAGCCCATGTTACTGAGTAAGGATGACAGATCATTGAACATGGAGAAGGGACAAAAAGAAAAACAGATGGGAAGTCAAAGGGTAAGGAATCCATGAAACGTGTTCTTCATTGCAGGTGTTAGTGGGGAAGAGGGACTGAGCCCCAGAGTGCAGCCCTACTCAAGAGGACAAGGAGGATACACTGGCTACAGGGCAGCAGAGAGGAGGCAGGGGAGAGCTGGGAGTGGGGAGCTTGGGGCAGGACATGATGGGGCTATAGGGCTGGAGTGAGGATTATCACCAGACAGCCACAAGAGCAATGCTAAGATCTCAGCTCTCATGCCTCTCTATCACATTGCCTATTTAATTTAATCCTACATTTTTGGTAATGGCAGTAAGTTACCAAAGGAGGGGAATAGGGGGAAGGGAAGGGGAAGAGAAGACTCACCTTGCAAGATGTCTGGTGGCACTGACATCCTCTTCAGGCCCTGACGGTGCCAGTCCTTGCTTTTCACTCGGCGTTTAATTAGGTTTTCTTGATTGGCTGCTGGCTCTTGTGCAGCTGCCCCAAGCTTTTTCTTGTCTGGCCAACTTGATGACTTTTCCAAAGGTGCATGTTTGGCCATTTCTTCCTTTGGCTGATGTTCTCCTCCTTCCAGCCTTTGCTTGACCCTCCTCTCAACTTCTGTTTTCTCTGTGATTGCCAGTGGAGTTTGGATGTTCTTTGTGTCCACACCAAAGATGCCTGCCTGTTGCTCCCATTGCATTTCCTCCTCCTGGCAGGTTGTTCTGGTGGTTGGCGGCGATGGAGGGCTGAGCTGGAAGAAGTGGATTGGATTGGTGAATGCAAGCATTGGAAGTAGATGTCCAGAGTCTGTGCTCTTGGACTCTGTGGATGTTATCAAGCCTTCCAACGAGGGCCAAGAAGGGTGGTCAGGTGAGGATTTTTCACTCTGCATATCCACGTGGTGGCCTGCTGTTTCAGGGCTGGTATCAGAGCAGACAACCAACATTTCGTTTCCAACAGCAGAAAAGCTTTTTGCCAAAAAACTGACCCCTGAGTCATCAGAAGTCTCTGTATCATGGGTACCTGAGTCACCAAAATCCCACTCTCCAGTCACTGGAACAAGGTCATCTTTCTCTGCTAGATTTTGTCCATCAGAGGCAGAGGCCACAGAGTCAGACTTGGGCACAGAGGCGGCAGACCGGAGAGGATGGCTTACAGCAGGGTGAATAGCTCCTAACTTATTATCCTCCATACCACAGTTGGGGTGTGGCCTAGAGTACTGTCCAGGAGCCAGTGGCTGGTAACTTTGAGGGGCTGGAAGTGGAGCAATGTGATTTGCATTAAGTGCAGGGGCCTGAGCTTGGCTGGGGCTTTGGACATGGGAACGAGGATGAGGAAACTGTTTGGCATCAGGCTCAGACACCAGAGGTAGGCTTGAGTGGGACACAGGGGACAGTGGCTGTTCTTGCTGGTTCACAGCAAGGACCATATCTTCTTCAGAGGGCCAAGTTAGGATGCTTAGGACACTGGAGATTCTGGATCCAGGCTCCTCTTGGTTTAAACTGCAGTCAGACTGATCAAATAAAGGCATTTGTTGTGATTTATGATCCACATTTGCTCCTGTTTCTTTTCCTTGGATAATAGCACTTTTTTCAGGGGGGGGTTGCTGAATTGTCTCTGACTGGTTCAGGGGAGTGGAAGTCCTTCCTGGTGTTTGGGATGGCTCCAAAGGCCCTGCAGTCCTAACCACAGACCTCCTATCCTCAAAAAGGTTCCACTCCAGAGGAGGAGAGCTCTTGTATATTACAGAGAAAGAAGATGGGCCACGAAGATCTTCATGAAAGCCTTCCTCAGAAGTAAGGAGTTCATGGAAAGTCTTGGTTGCCCCTGGATCTGTACTTACACCAGCAGTTTGCCCTGGTGTTGTGTCCCACACCTCTGCAGAAACAGCTTGCAGTGGCTTCTCTGCAGAAGCTGGCAGGTCATTCAGGCTGGCACCAGGACAGCCCTTGGGGGTCACAGCAGCTGTTCCACTGGCACCCTCCTTCTGTGAGCCAGACACTGAAGCCATTGAGGTGAGGTCTGAGGGAGAAGCTGGAATGAAGTCCTGAAACTCAGCTTTTCCTGTAACGTGATGAGGATCTATGGGATCAGGTGCCTCCAAGTTATTGGTACCAGAGGAAGGATATGCTGGAGCAGAAGCCTCTGGGTTCTCTGCACTAGAAGGTACTGCCACTCCTTCATGGAGTGGTGCCTCTCTTTCAAACTTCTGGACAGCTTTTCCATACCTGTCACTGTGCTCATTCTCCCTGCCTAATCTTGTCTTGTCATCCCAGTGAGCTTCTCCAATATCCTGACCACCGATGGAAAAGCGGCCAGAGTCCTCTAGGTCTTCTGCCTGGTCAGAGATATGCCATGTGTGTGGAGGTGCCACTGAAGTTTCACCCGCTGTGTTCAGAGTATTTGAGGACAGAGGGCTGACAACAGATGGCTGACATCCAGAACCTGCTCCTGTGACATGAGCTTTCAGCAGCACGTCCTCACCAGGATGCTGATCCACAGAGACAGGTTCCCCAGGAGGAAATGCTGACCCCATTCGCTCAGGCAAGAAAACATTCTCCAAACTACACGCATCCACCTTGTGCCTGGGAACAGAAGACATCTCTGACTCAAAAGCTGATAACAGAGCCTCTGGTTTGAGCTCTTCCTCAAGTTTAAGCTCTTCTCTCTGCAGTTGTTGTTTCTGCTTATTTTGTTCCTTGTTTTTCTGATCTCTGGGCTCCAAAGATTTTCCTTCTTCCGGCAGATTCTGCTCTTTGCACTCTTTCTCCTCTTTCTGCCGAAGTTCAGACTCTGTCTCTTCCTGTGCTGGCTCCTTATGCTGTGAAGCATTCGCTTCCTCAATCTTTTTAGCAGTACTCTTTAGTTGGAAGGCACTCTCTGCTGAAGGCGCAGGTTTGCCCTCTGTTCTTCTGTGATCATCTTCTAGACGAAGGCATTTGGAAGTGGATGAATTTTCTTTATGAATCGTTACTATTCCCTTGTCTTTGACCATGCTGGTGTTCCTTATTTCACCAGCTGAGACATCTCCTGCTTCTTGCAGTGAACTTATTTGGCTGTCATGTGTTAAGGTGGAAGACAATTGCTGGGAAGAGAAAGACTCTATATTCTCTTCCAAACCCTGGGGTGCTCTAATGCTTTCCTTAGCACTTTCAGAATTGTAAGTTTTAGCTGTGTCTTCTACTGCTTCCTCTGAGGTAGGCTGCTCACCAGGTGCTGGTGCCAGCTTCTGCTTCTGCTCTGCACCAGCATCAACCTCCTGCAAAGAATCCCCGGAGATGTTCTCCAGAAAGGGTTCAGCCTTATAATGCCCCTCTGAAACAGTTTTACACACCAAAAAGCACTTAGGTGTCTCTCTCTGAGAGGAAATGGCATCTGCCGAAGATGATTTTGGTTGCTGGGCCTGAGGGTCTGAGCCATGAAAAGCCAGTTCTGCTTGGCACTGAGGAAACTCAGTGCTGAGGCTCACAGCCTGCAGGATGGGATTGCCAGGGGCTGGCTCATCCTGGACCACGCTGTGAGAGGAAGAGTCCTGGTTGCTTTCCAGGTCAACCAGCTCTAATTGCTTAAGTTTCAGAGAATAATCCAGTTCATCCTTCTCTGAAAGCATTTCTCCTTCCAACTCTGAGAGTCTCTTCTGAGGCTCTGCATTGCCTTGCTCTGGCTCCAGTCCTGCTGGCACTTTTTGCATAGGGTTGGAGGGTCTGCCCAGCATCTCTGCTGCTTTCCCTGGAGCAGAAAGGCAGTCCTCAGGAGTGCTGAGCTCGACTCCCCTTGAAGAGTTAGGCAGGCTGGTGCTCATTTTGGCTGATGTGCGAGCAGCATGATGTTCTCTTTTGACTGCTGTAGAATCCCAAACTTCCCCAGTGGTGCTGCTGACTCCTGGGGGAGCAGTATCACCCTCACTGGTTTCCTCAGACTCCATCAGTGACACATCCTGCTAAATAAAAATGCATTTTTCTGTTACTACTACAGAATGATATGACGAATTTAATTCACTGATTCTAATGCAGCTGAGAAAAAAAACCCAAAACAAAACCAGATACCTAGTGGGTGGTAAGAATTGGGAAACAAACACAAAGACTGAGAGTAGGCAAACACGTGCAGGGTAACAGCAACACCAAAATAAAATCACTGGTGTCCTTTCAGTTTTACATGAAAATCCAGAAAGGGACTTTGGTCAAAGAGCAGAGATGTTGATCTCTCTGCAGTACAACTAAAGAAAACTGTTGGCCGTGGCTAGTTATCTCAGACCCAAAAGGGGATACCAGAAGGCATTCAGGGAACAAGAAAGTTATCAAAAATTTCCCATTAATTTCTGTGGGGCATGGGGGATGAATGCTCACAGCCTCTTCTAGCTGAGGCTTAATGATTTTTTTGATTTAAACAGGGAAAAGCCTGTTCTTTGGAGCTCATGGCTGTCTCTAGAGATCTGTGTGTATGTCTGTGCAACACAGGACTTTATTGCAAATGATCACAGAAATTGACTAATAAGACACAGGAATGTAAGAATTTGATTAACAGATAACTAGGATATGACACAAGACAGGAGATATTTGAAGGCTGTAAACCACATGGGCTGAGAGGAATAGCTCTGGTGTGTGTGGACATATCTACAGACTACAAAGAGAAACTATTATAATTTAGTCTACTCTTTTAGCAAGGGGGGAGGCCATCTCAGGATTGTTGGACTGTTTCCCAAAGGATATAGTGGAATTTCCCATCCAGTATTGTATTTGAAGTTCAGACATGACAAAGCACTAGGGAATGTACATTTGGGATATGTCTGTGAAAAGGATGGTAGAATCTGATTCACCACGTTTATCTTTCTGGCTTCTACCTGTTCCATGACACACAGTCCCAACCTACAAACCTTCATACTTTCATGGCTCCCCTCCCTTTTCTTCTACCTTTGGGAGACATTCTCTAGTGTTCCAGCCTGTCTTCTCTATTCCCTGGCTATCAGAAATGGCTTATAAATTGCTGCTTCAGGCTGCTTCCCATACACTGGGTCCCCCTGCAGTCATACCAAAGTTTGTAATTTAGCCCGGAAGGATCTGCTGCAATGTACAGCCACAGTCAGACTTCCCCCTGAATAAAGCTCAAGTGTTCTCCTCCTTCATCCTGCTTACAGATGTTGAAGTTTCCAGACACAAATGCACAGTCCTGCACCTTTTAGTCAGAGAAACCATTCTACATTTCTTCAGGTAAAATTTTGCCTGACAGCTGTTTAAGGGCCAAAAAAAGCTCCAGGCCTGGCCCTTAACTGTTCACAAAGCTCATGCAAAAGAAGTTTTTTTTCTTGTTCAAGGCAACCAAATCTATATACTTTCACGCTCTCCAGCATTGCTAATCTCCCTACAATATTAAGACTAGCATTTCCTCCAGAGTTTCAACACTGTTGGGAGTGTGTATGTGTGACAATTTCTGCTTGGGAGACTCACAGAGAAGGGAAACTCTCTGAATGGGAGGAGGAATCTTTGAGATCAGCAGTGATGTTCTTGTGCTAGAGTGGCTCTACAGTCACAAGTAACACCTTCTGATCCCACACAGAAAGTAAAAGCAGTAAGGGCATAATTACGTCTGAACTAATTGTCCCAGTTAGCTCCATGGCCAGGGCACGCCTGGCCTGGAAGCTGGTTTAGCTTCTGTTTCCCTTTACATCAAGTGAAACAAAACACCTGCTCTGGAGTTAGTTCTGAATCACAAGATACACTTTAGTCACAGGGATTGTCATTATAGAATCACTGAATGGTTTGGAAGGGACCTCAAAGGTCATCTTGGTACAACCCCCTGCCATGGGCAGGGACATCTTCCACTAGACCAGGTTGCTCAGAGCTCCATCCAACCTGGCCTGAAACACTGCCAGGGATGGGGCAGCCACAGCTTCTCTGGGCAACCTGTGCCAGTGCCTCAGCACCCTCACTAATCCAAACCTACTCCCTGTCAGTTTGAAGCAATTCACTCTTGTCCTGTCACTCCAGGCCCTTGTGAATAGTCTCTCTCCATCTTTGCTGTAGGCTCCTTCAGGTACTGGAAGGCTGCAATGAGGTCTCCCTGGAGCCTACTCTTCTCCCGGTTGAACAACTCCAACTCTTAAAAAAAATATGAGGGAAAAATAGAGTTAACTAACTGAGTTACCTCATCAGTTAACTTTGTTCCTGTGTATTTTTTCCTCATGAAATCTTTTAATTTTTGTTTAGATTGAAAAGATCCTGGTGAAGGGCTTACAAAACCAGGCCAAAATTGGGATTTTCCAGCAATTTGGATTTTCCCCTCCCAAGCAATGAGTAGTTGTAAATAATTGTAATTTCAACAAACACTATGTTTCAAATACATATGTTCATTCAGGAAGTTCTCACAGGGCTTCCACCACATCTTACTGCTCTCAGCTGATACTAAACTCCTTGGGTGCTGCTAAACTGCTGCCCATGGTAAGTTACAGGGCAGTCAGGAAGAAGCTCCAGCACAGACACAACAGGGCTTGACAGGGCACAGAAAGCAGCAGGGTCATTAACTGGTAAGCAGCCACCTTGTCTGAGGCAGTATTAACTTTACCTGTCCCCAAGAGGTACATGTAAATCTCCCCCTCTAACTAAGGTTCCGCGATCACATCGGATCACTCGTGCCATGATGCTCTCAGCTTCCCTGGCTACCTAACCTGAGACTTCCCTTCTACAGGACTAGAAAAGTACTACTTCTCACACCTAATACAGACAGTTTTCAAAAACAGGCTCCCAGGAGCAGAGAGACTGTTCAGGGAGACAGGTGGCCTTGGACACGTACTGATAGCTAAGGAAGGTTCACTACTATTAAAAACAGGATGGCTCATAAAGGTCTAAATAGAAAGATCCTCAAACTCGAGCCCACACTATGTGAGGGGAAAAAGAACTCTTGTTTACTGTGCCCTTACAGATGTACACAACACTGAATTTCCTCTTCTTAAGCTCAAAGACCCAGTTTCCACTTCCATGGCTCTGTTGCAAGGGATTTGGACAGGTGAAAGGACAAGTTTAAAGCTGCATTTGGAGCAGTTCCATGATGATACTGGGAGACAGGGTAGAGGGAGGTGCACAGCACATCAACACTGCAAGCTGCCAAGTGAGATTTGTCTCATCATATTACTGCCAGGTGTTTTGCACACCTCAGGGAGAGCAAGAGAGAAGCTTTGAGAAGTGAGGCAAGAGAAGGACCAGGCAAGCTTTCTGCACAGGCAGTGGGGGAGGGCTTATGCATCTAGTCAGGGAAACACTTAAGCTCCTGCTCAAAGGCTGGTTGCACCGTAGTGAAAGACACGGATGTCTGCAATAAGGATTTCATGGAGGTGGAAGAGGAAATAATAAAACAAGACTGATAGCACCTGTATTCTTCACATGCAGAGCAGCTACATACACGAGCCCAGTAATTACCAGAAGAGAGTGCCTGTGGAGCACTGCCATGTGCCACTGCAGGTCAGCTTGGTCCTTCACCAGAGGAGGGCCCAGGAGATCCCCAAGAACTCGCTAGCCAAAACAAACTCTCAATCAGTCTTTGCAGCAGGGCCAATAACATGACAGACAAGCATACAGGAGCCTGTCTAGCGACTGCCAGCTTCAGGCGGGCTATGCAAACTCTCACAGATACTTCATTGTTACCACTGTTGGGGCTTATTGATCTTTCACAACTCTCTCTGGATCAGATATTGAGCTTGCCATCACTCCCTTGTATGCTCTGTCAAATGAGGTGATTCGCTGTCCCCTGCTGAGATAAAGCTAGTTACACTCTCTTCCCAAGAGGGCCTGGAAACCCAGGAGTTCAGCTGACATGCACCTAACTTGGAGGTGACTCTGGGTGCACAAACTCTCTGCAAGCTGGAACGGTGAGAGGGAGCAGCTGGCCATACGCCAGCATGAAAACAAAGGGGCAATGCTTGGTGCTACTGCAGTCAGAACCACAAAATTTGAGAGGGGAAGGGCGCAGAAGGTGGCCAGATAAGCAAACCAGGACGGTGCTGAAAGCACGAGTGAACAAAGCAATTCCTGCGATGATGCACACATCCATCCACGGCTTTCCCAGATTACAAAAGGCAATGTGAATGTCATACTTCCTTCCAGTGTGGGTTAATTCACCTGGACGGAGATGACAAACACTTCAGGTTTTAAATAGAAAGTACCTCACCTTCCCTCCCCCCTTCTCCAACAAACAAGAAAGGAGCAATAACAAGTGCTATCAAGCACAGACAAGCCCTTCAGCTAGCCAGGAAACAAGGCCACACAGAAGTGGAGCCCCGAGATCCTCCTTCAAAGCCAGGGAGAGACTGAGCTTTCAGCCTGCCATCTTCACCCTCCTGCACAGTGCCAGGTGTCACCTGGCTGCCCTCAGACCCTGCTCCCCACCCTGCTCCCCTGCCATGGGCACAGCTCACGCGCCCAGGCTGCTGCAAACACGCTGCCAGCAGAGAAAGCCCTGCCCTGCGACACCAGGCTGGGCACAGCCGCTGTGCTGGAGCTGCTCCGGCAGCCAGGGATGCTCCACAGCCCTCTGAGCTGCCACTCAGGGCACCCAGGGCTCCTCTTCACGGCTCTCCTCCAATGCAGCACTGAGCTTCTGGCTGTGAGAGGAGAAAGCCACTCACAACAGCCTTTGAGCGGCATATGGGCAGGGACACCCATTTCCTTATAAAAACAAAGGCTTTCCCAAGAAGTCCATCGTTTGGGCATATCCTCACTGGCACAGCCACAGGTTGGTGTAGAAATGCCTAAGCCAACTTTAAGTACTGCAGCTCAGGAAGGAAAGAGCTCTGTGTTGGCTCAAACACCCACCCAAAGTGTAACGAGGCAGCCCCGAGCCTCTCCCTGCCATTTCAGCTCAGCTTAATCATCTCCATCACACAGTTCAGGTACACCTTAAAAGGAGTTTAGAGAAGGGAAGTTTAGGTTAGATATT